GTGATGGGTGTCAAACATTGGCCCTCCCAGGGGCCGAAAAATGACCCTTTGACACATCGGTCCCCCTCCCCCCAACAAAAACCCAGGAAGGGGAGGGTGAGGGCTCCCCTGCCCGAAGGGAGAAAAAGGGGTCGTGGAAGAAGAAAGAGACCCTCGTTAGACCACCTGTCGCCCAGTGGGTTGGTGGGACTTCGGAGTTCTGCCCCAGGTTTCTGAACTTATGATTTCCTGGATCAATTTTCAGCTGTATTGTCCATTGTCTCCTCGCACATTTCGTACATCACGACTGGCAGAGCCCACGTGGCACAGAAGAGAAAACAAGTCCAAAGACTTCATTGGACGTGCTTGTGTGGTCGACGCTTCATCTTACAACATTTTCGCAAAGGATGTGCACATCATTGGAAGAAAGCATTCATGGGAACGAGAACCTGGAGCGAATCCTGGGCCAGACCAGGATCAGCTAGGAACGCAGCCGAACGGAAAAACAAAGGTGATTACCCAGGGTTTTCGTGCGCTGGACGGGCGTGTATATTTCCCTGTCAAAAGAAAGAAAGACTCTACCGCCCTCCCTTCGTGGGGTTACGGGTGTCCCCTGCGCAATCACTTTTATCACCAGCGCATGGATGTCATCAGCATCATTGTCACCGTCGTCACCCGCATCGGTGCCGTCACAGGCCTTGCCGTCGTCACCGTCATCATCATCATCATCATCATCATCATCATCATCATCATCATCATCATCATCATCGCCATCACCATCACCACTAGCATCGCTATTAACATCATCGTTGCCACCGTTGTCGACGTCATGATGATACCGTGCCCGTCAGAGTCACCGACCCGCACTGAAGCGCCCGCGACCCAGCGCGGCCTTGGAACCGCGGTTTGAAGTTCCTATCGGTACGCGCGGCCGCATTAGTTGTGCCAATCCAGCTGGTCGCCCTGCGCGCGAGCGTTCACGCGGCAGCGCGGCCGCAGAGATGTGTTAGCCAGTGCCCATCGGCAGTTGCTACCGTGGTTGAATGGGTTTTGTCGACCATTTTGCGAGTGGGAGGGTGGGATGTTTGCACGAGCAGTGGAGTTTACAACTCGTTGACACAAATTCATTCCCCTGTCAAAAAGAAAGGCATGTCCCCCCCTTCCGAGGCCGGACTTAACGGACCCCCACGAACATTGCAAATTACATGAGAGTGTGCTTCGTCGTTCATCTTCCACATGAGTTCATGCCATCCCAGCCAAATCGGTATCGGCCCTCCTCATCTCTGTCAAAGCATACGAAGCGGTCACTCGAATCTCTCAAGATATCAGGTCCGAATAGTTCCTTGCAGCAAACAGATACAACGTCCACAAGCGCGCACGTGGGGAAACCTTGCCAAGCAGACCAGTTTGGAAACGCTTCAACATAAACCACCCATCACATTGACAGGTTTTTCTCACCGCAAGCTTGGCAGACTTTCTGGAATCGCTTGAACATCTCGCTGTATCAGTGTCGTACAGAACCCGCATTCTCGTCCCACCACGCGGTGCATCCGCGTTGACCCAAAAATCCGCCCAGTGCGCGAATCCGTACCACATGGTGCCATGCGGGCCACACGCGCGCGCCGCCATGCGCGCGTGTCGAAATCCATCCGACACCGCTGGTTTTCCAACGATAAAGCTTTTCAGCAACTGCCAACAACCAAGTGTTTGTTCAGCGTCGTCGTCATCGTCATCGTCATCATCGTCATCGTCATCATCGCCACCATCATCCCTACTATCATCATCTTTGCGCCGTCGTCGACGCCATCAAGATACCGCGCCTGCCCGAGTCACCGACCCGTACTGCAGTGCCCGTGCGCAAGTGCTGCTTTTGAGACGCGCTTGTATGTTCCTATCGGTACGCGCCATCGCGGCCGCGTGGGTTGTGCCATACCAGCTGGCCGCTCTGCGCGCGAGCTTGCGAGTGCCAGCCCAGCCGCAGATACGCCAGCCAGTGCCAAGTAGTCATCGCAATCGTGGCCGCATGGAGTGTGCAAAACAAGATGCGGGTGGGAGGGTGTGGTGATTGCTCGAAGGTGTATTGCACCACTTAGCTTGCAGCTCTCACCACTTAGCTTGCACCACATATCTTACATCACATGCCTTCACCGAGTAGCTTTTACCAGTGCTGTATTTTTTTTATATCCACATATATATACACATACTGCACCGCATAGCTTACACCAGGTACATCGCACCACCGTAGATAAGGCACCGCATCGCTTACACCACATATATCGTGCACCTGATCAATTGCACCACGCAGCCTGCACCATGCATATTGCACTACGCAGGCTGCACCGCATAGCTAACACCACGTAGCCTGCACCACATAGCCTGTGCCACGTACCCGACACATCCACAGTGCACTGACTCATGGCCTGGGTCCAGAGGCGCACACGTGGAACCTCGGGCCCCCCGATCCTGTTCCCCGGGTTCCCCGGCCCTGTTCCCTGCCTTCATTCTTCGGGTTCCCCGGTCCTGGCCTTCCTCGGCTCCTCGGTCTTGTGCCTCGCCTTCCCTCGCACGCCGCAGCGCCGAGCAATGCCTAGCAGTGCCACGCAATGACAAGCAATGCGAAGCAGCGCCAAGCAACGCAAGCCAACGCAAAGGATGCAAACCGATGCAAAGCAATCACAAGCAATTCCAAGCAATGCCAAGCAATGCAGAGAAATGACAAGCAACACCAAGCATTGCCAATGCCAAGCAATGCCGGACGGTGCCAAGCATCACCAATCAATGCCACACGCAATGCTAAGCAAGCGTTCCAATCAACGCCAAGCAACACCAAGAAATGCCAGTCAGTGCCAAGCAATACCAAACAATGAATTGCGTTGCTTTGCTTTGCATTGCTCAGACATGCTTCGAATTTCATCTGAAGCAAAAAGACCCCTAGCCGTGGTCTCGCCGGGTTTATGTACTCAATCTGGGAGGCATGCTTCTCCCAGCGCTTGGGGCCCCTACGGAAGGAGGTCTCTCCAGGGAGCGTCCTGGGAAATGGCGCGGCCCTCGATCTCATCCTGGCGGGCAAGCCTCCCAAGGCTGGCTTGCTCTTTCAAGTTTCAATGTGGGGAGCCTGCGACTCAAGCAGTGTCGAAGCGTCCTGGCTCTCCTATAGGCCCATCGAAGAATGTTCTAAGAACCTTTTCTGTGGTTTGCACGAAATGTTCTTGGAACATTTCTGGGTGGGACTGTCTTGTTTTATCACATCGGGCTTATGCCGGGACGGTTGGTCCTTGCTCAAGCGAGGCGGTCTGATTTCTGACTCGCCCTGACACGTTTTTCGATCGCTGGGCGCTTTCGTCCAATCTTTCGGCGCTTCCATGGCTGTTACCCTGCTACCTCAGCTGCCCTGAGTTGCCAGTTGTGAAAAGGCAGCACGTGCCGTGTTCAGTCCACACGCTGCGTGTTGGTTCGGCACGTGTTGGTCCACGTTTTGGCGAACGTATGGAGCGGGACCTACGTGCTCAGTCTACGTGTTGAGCTCCGTGTCATCACGCTACGTGTTGTGCGTCCCGCATGGGGGCAGCCAAGCCTGCTCATCTGCTCCCTTTTCCCTCGTAGTCGTGCCAGGTGGGATGGGAGCCAGGAAGAATGACCTGGGCCGGTGGGCGTTATGAAGGCCTTTTTTCAGCTGCCGCTCTTCGGCGAGCGAGGGGGAGATGAGAATGAGAAGGAGAAGGCCTTCTCAGAAGGCGGCGGAACTTCTCAGAAGCCCTCGCGCCTTCTGAGAAGTCCTTTCTGTCTTCGGGGAAGGCCTAGGAAACCTGTCAGAAGGCCGGGGGACTTCCGAGCCTTCCGAGAAGGCCAGCCCCTTCTCGCTTCACCCCCTCGCTCGCCGCCGAGCTCTCCCGGCCAGCGCGAGGGCAGTGTCGTCAACGACCTGGACATGGACCGGGTGTGTGCCAAGCAGGCCGCGGCCTTCTTCGTGCTGCCGAAGCCGCTGTGGGCGCCCCGGCGCCCCCCAGTGAGGGCCGACGCCTCTGGTCGTCGTCGCCGTCGTCGTCGTCGTCGTCGTCGTCGCCGTCGTCGTCGTCGCCGTCGTCGTCGTCGTCGCCGTCGTCGTCGTTGTCGTTGTCGTCGTCGTCGTCGTCGTCGTCGTCGTCGTCGTCGTCGTCGTCGATGTCTTCCTGCTGCTGCTGCGATGCAAGCCAGAAGCCGAGCAGTTAGGTTCCGACGTCTCGCTCGGAGCTCCGCGAGTCCCGTCCGATCCTGCTTTGGTTGCTGCTGCAGTCGAGTACTCGGGGCTTGCTGAAGGTGTCCTTGGCCCAGGGTGCCCCCAGCTGCTCGCCGAGTTTTGGAGTCCCTGTGGCCCTCTGGGCCTCGTGGACGGTGCTCTGGAGGCCGCGGGGGCCTCCTTGAGAAACCTGGGGGCACCTCGGGCCAGGGGCACTTCTCTGGCAACACTCTCAGGAGGGAGCCAAAACACGCAGACACAATTCATCGTCGATTCCCCCGAAAATATGGGGAAACATGGTACATCCTTTTACTTGTGTGTATTTATTTATCTCTTTGTGGGCCCCTGCACACTCGTCGAACAGCATCACAAGGGCGAGTAAGCTTACAAGGGGTGCCCTCGCGCCCTCGCCTCTCCGCCCATCCCGTCCCCTGGCCGTGAGCCAGGGGCTTCCGGCTCCGGCTTCGGCTTGGGCGCTCCAGGGCCTTGCCTGCTTGTGGCCATCCTCAGGATCAGGTCGCACTGGAAAGTCAACCCGCACTGGAAGGATGGGCAGCCTTCCACTGGTACCCTGGCATCCTTGCCTCCTCGGACCGGCCTTCGCCACTTTCGTTGGCCGCGCCCCGCTCGAGAAGCTTCGGAATGGGCGTCCAAGCCCTTGCATCCTTGTCGTGCATCCTTATGATACGGGCCGACTGTACTCCTTCCGCGGCCATTTCGGCCGAGGGCTCCCGGGCGTTCAGGAAGCGCCCCCCTTTCCCGTCCCGCGACCTGCAACGCTGGCCGTCCACGCAGCCGCAGCGAAATGTCGGAGTTCACGGTCCGCACCCGCAAGTTCAAGCAGAACCCGCTACTGGGCCGCAAGCAGTTCGTCCTCGACATCATCCACCCGAGCATGGCCAACGTCTCCAAGGCGGACCTGGCGAAGAAGCTTGCACAGATGTACAAGGTGCACGACCACAACTGCATCCAGCTCTTCGGGTTCAAGACCGCCTTCGGCGGCGGGCGCAGCTCTGGCTTTGGCCTCATCTACGACAACATCGACAAGGCCAAGAAGTTCGAGCCGAAGTACCGCCTGAAGCGCGCGGGCCTCGGGAAGGACAAGGGGGGCGGTGGCCGCCGCGCCAAGAAGGACACGAAGAACCGGCGGAAGAAGGTGCGCGGCAAGGAGAAGTCCAAGGCTGGCGGCAAGAAGTGAGCGCGGCGCGGGGCCGTGCCTGCCGACGGCGCCGCCGCCGCCGGGTCCGCTGCCGCTGCCACTCGTCCTCCTCCTCCTTCTCCTCCTCCTTCTCCTCCTCCTTCTCCTCCTCCTCCTCCTCCTGCTCCCCTCCTCCTCCTCCTCCTCGTCGTCGTCATCGTCCTCCTCCTCCTCCTCCTCCTCCTCCTCCTCCTACTCCTCCTTTTCCTCGTCCTCCTCCTCCGCTCCCCTTCTCCTCCCTCCTCCTCCTCCTCCTCCTCCTCCTCCTCCCCTCCTCCTCCCCCTCCTGCTCCTCCTCCTCCTCCCCCTCCTCCCGCTCTCCTCCTCCTCGTCCTCCTCCTTCTCCCTCCTTCCTCCTCCCGCTGCCCGCTGCCCTCCTCCTCTTGCCGGTCCTCCGTGGCCATCGTCCGGGGGCGGTGGGCAGCGGGACCCTGCTCGGCAGCCGTCTCTGCGCCGCCCGCTCAGGCCTCGCCCTCGCCCCCCTGGTTCCAGGCCTCCCCCAGGTGGTGCCGGAGCAGATAGGGGCCAGAGGATCGCGCCGCATGGCCGATGCATCGGCCACAAGGCCCTCCGTGGAGCCCGACCTTCTCAGCGCCGGCAGTCGCCGATGCCTGGGCCCTGTGCTGGCAAGGCGCGCGCGCGGCGCCTCCGATGTGGGAGGCCTCCGCTCGCGCCTCTCCAGCCCCGCCGCCGCACGGCGGCGCGCCTCCTGCCGGCGCCGCACGGCCGAGGCGCTCTGCGGGCAGCAGGTGTCCCCCTTCGGCGGCGCGGAGGGGCTCGCGCCTCGCGCGTCGTGGCCTGGGCCAGTGCGCCTCCCCTCCTCCAAGCGGGGGCGGCACGGGGAGCGCGACGGCGCGAAGGGCATCGAGCGGCGCGCATCCGCGGGGCGCGGTGGCTGAAGTTGGGTGACCTCGCTTTCAGTCGGGCGTGTCCTGCTACAGGAGGACTCTTCAGAATTAGAAGAAAATGATATGGGGAGTTCTTCTTGTTTGTTAGATATTTCCCCAAACCATCCTGTGGTGTTGGGTCCTTGGATTTGAAGAGACAGCGCCCCGCGTTCCTTCCTTCCTTCCTTTCTTCCTTCCTTCCTTCCTTCCTTCCTCCTCCCCCTCCTTCCTCCTCCCCCTCCTTGCCTCTGTCCTCCTCGTCGCCACTGTCATCATCATCATCATCATCATCATCATCATCATCATCATCATCATCACCATCATCACCATCATCACCATCATCACCATCATCACCATCATCACCATCATCACCATCATCATCACTAGCATCATTCTCATTCTCATTCTTATTATCATCGCGGCCCCATAGGGAGCTCCACCTAAGGCCCCAGTGGCGATGTTCGAATGCGTCTCCCCCACCCAGTACAGCGTTTCGTGGCCCCAGAGGGGAGCCCCACCGAAGGCCCCAATGGCGGTGTTCGCATGCATCTCCCCCACCCAGCACACCGTTCCGTGGCCCCGTAGGGAACTCCACCTAAGGCCCCAGTGGCGGTGTTCGCATGCCGCTTCCCAGCACAGCGTTTCGCAGCCCCACAGGGAGCCCCACCTACGGCCCCAGTAGCGGTGTTCGCATGCGTCTCCCCCACGCAGCACACCGTTCCGTGGCCCCATTGGGATTTCCATCTAAGATCCCAGTGGCGGTGTTCGCATGCGTCTCCCCCACCCAGCACAGCGTTTCGCGGCCCCATAGGGAGCCCCACCGAAGGCCCCAGTGGCGGTGTTCGCATGCGTCTCCCCCGCCCAGCACAGCGTTTCGCAGCCCCATAGGGAGCCCCACCTAAGGCCCCAATGGCGGTGTTCGCATGCGTCTCCCCCACCCAGCACACCGTTCCGTGGCCCCGTAGGGAGCTCCACCTAAGGCCCCAGTGGCGGTGTTCGCATGCCGCTTCCCAGCACAGCGTTTCGCAGCCCCACAGGGAGCCCCACCTACGGCCCCAGCAGCGGTGTTCGCATGCGTATCCCACATCCAGTGCAGCGTTTGGTCGCCCCACAGGTAGCTTCACCTTAGGCCCAATGGCGGTGTTCGCATGCGTCTCCCCCACCCAGCACAGCGTGTCGTGGCCCCATTGGGAAGCAAAACGACATCGGCCCGAGACCCCTCCGCTAAAGAAGCGACAGAGCGGCCCCCCATCCTGAAGGGTTCGCAGTCTCGACAATGAAGTTCGCTCTGCGCTTCGCCACCTGCAACATCGGAGGACAGGAGGGCAGGGGAGGAGGCCCAGAGGGGGGGTTGTTGCAGGAGGCTTGGCGCGGTGACCCCATGAGGGGGTCAAGAGCGCAGCGGGCTGTCCCCTGCTACCGTGAGTGCTGCACGCGCGCGGGCAAGGGGCTCAGAGGGTGCCTCAGGGGGAGACGATGCCGTAGCCGCCGCAGCCGCGGCCGCCTTCCCCTTCTCCTGCTGCTGCTGCCCGTTGCCTCCGTCGATGATGGATGTCGCCGCTCCGCTCTCGCCCTTGCGCATCTTGAAGATTCTCTCAGAATGCTCCTTGTGATCTTTGACCAGCGACTCCGCCTTGTCTCGGATCGAACTGAAAAGGTTCTCCGTCGCCGTCTTGAGTCCTTCGGCCAAGAGGCGTTTCCTTTCCTGCACGGCGGCCAAATCTTCTTTGGACAGCTCCTGGTGATCGCCCAAGCTGAAGAGACTGTCGTCCTCCACGAAGATGTCTGACATGTTGCCGTCCAGGATGTCTTTGATGCACAGCTTGGCGCCAGTCGGCTTGGGCTGCTGCTCCATGCCGATGGTCTGGGGATATAGCTGGGCCACTGCATGCTTGTACTCCGCTGCAGAGGCCTCCACCTGCGAGACGAGGTTGGCGACCACGGTCTGCTGCTGGTCGCGCTGCTGCGTGAAATGCTCGAGCTTCTCGGTGGCAGCGACGAGAAGCTGCTCTGCGTACTGTAACTTGGCGTGAACCTCGCCCGCGACCGTGCGAGCCGCTTTGCCAGGCTGCGCACGCCTCTTGACCTCCTGCTGGCAGGATCTCGCGAGCTGGATGTTGTTGCTCTTGCGCCCCAACTGCTCCGTGCTTTGCACCCCGGCGTCTGAGAGTGTTCGAAGGTCCTGGCCACCACAGCCAGAAAACTGAGCACCGATAGACCGAGGAAGATGAAGACCAGGAGGAAAGATATCTTGCGGCTGCTTGTCCGCAAGAGAGGAACCCTGATGTGGCGGGATCTCTCCTGCAGCGCGCTCAAGTCCGCGATGTTTGCACCAGCTCCACGAGGCCTTGTTACGGCCACAACCGCATGCACATTTCCAGTTGACGGCAGCCTTGTCCTGCCACCCGCTGTACGTGTAGACACTGCCGTTGGACCCTTTGCCCGCAGCACCTGA